GGCCGCTAGTGACACGCGGCTATCAAGCATTTGAGACACGGCTGGTGTGTCTGAAGAACTGAATTTCTCATTTCCTTTCATTTTAATGGATTTAAATAACCTGCCCAGAGGCAGAACGTTTCCCTCATCCCCGCAATTTGTAAGGGACAGCAAGCCCACCTGCCTCTGTGTCCCTCTTGTGCACACCTCCTCTCCTTCCCCATATTGGGCCTCACTGGTCTGTCAGATCCGAGAATGTGCCAGGCTCATGGCCTTTACACCACGGTTCCCTCTGCCTGGAGCACCATCCCCTGCTCCTGAGATGGGCAGCTCCTGTCATGCAACAGGGCTCTGTTCTGCACCAGCCTCTCATTCGCATCCTTCATAACACTTAATATCATCTGTAAGCATTTTGCCAGCTCATTTACAAGTTTACTCTTAGTCTGCCCCCCTTAGAATGGAAGCCCAGAGAGAGCAGGCCCAGGCTTTTGCCCCGGTTGTGTCCCCAGGGAGTGGCACGGTGCGTAGCCCATTTGGGTGCTCAGGACCTACGTAAGTGATTGGCTGAGAGGGCCCCATGCAGAGGAAGTCGCATGTGTGCAAAGGCAGAGGCAGGCGTCTGCACGGGGCGTGTCGGTGAAGGGTTGGTGGGGAAACAAAATGATAAGGGAGACAATTTAAGGATTGGGGAGGTGGCAGTGTGGTTCATCAGGGAGGGTTATAAGGTGCCTGAGTTAAGCCCCTGGGGAGCCTGCTAGCTGACCAAAGGAACTTGGCTCAAAAAGGCTGGACACAGGGAGCTGGCCCCTTGGCCACCATGGCTGTCCATGAAGTTGAAGGTGCCTGGAACACGGGTCAGTTACAGAAGAACTGTGGCTCCGTGATGGCAAGCTTAGGGGTCCATAAAGGAAGGTTAAGGCTTCCGACTCCCTAGGGCTATCAGCAACAGTCCGAGATAGAGGGGGAAGTGGTCTATAGTCACCTGGGGGGCTGGAAACAGAACAAGGAGAAGCTTCAGTCCAATCATTCGGAAGCAGTAGAGGCCCCAGAGGCCTCCTCTCAGCCTTCACCGGGCCCAGCCAGCCCCTCCTCCTCCCATCTCTAGATCGTAAGCTCTCTAAAGGCAGGACTTTTGTCTTCTTCACCACTGGAGTCCCCATGCCGGGACAAGCCCTGTCACATAGTAGATGTTCAATAAATATTTACTAAGGGGGGGCCTGGGTGGCTCAGGGGGCTTAGCTGACTCTTGATATCAGCTCAGGTCTGGAGCTCAAAGTCATGAGTTCAAGCCAGGATGGGCCTGGGACCTACTTAAAAATGCATCTGTAAATAATACATACACACATACATACTTGTCAAATATATAAATCCATACCGCATTTTTTAATGAATGAAACCTGAGGTCACAGTGTGTCTTACTTCTAAGGGCACTGGAAGCCCTGAGTGTTGAAAGTGAAATCTGGGTCACGGGTAGTGGAGGGAAGGTAGCAAAGAGAATCAGAGCCCCATTCATGCTCATTCATTCTAACACCTTTGAGAATGAAAATGTCCTCATCTTGTTCCAGAATCCAATCAAAATTTACTGGCTTCAAGATGCTTTCCCCAAATCACCCCACACCTTCTAAACTCAAATTAACTCCTACCCCTTAGAAATTTTTAATCATCTAAAAACATGTTCTGAAGGTCACCTGAAAGCATTTGAGAGCTCAGTTGATGTGACACGGTCTCACTGACATCCATCTTTCACCTTAGGACTGTTACCCTCGTCTCTGGCCTGGTTCTGAAGCGGGGCCCCACACGGAGTGAAGTTCAAGCAGGCAGAGGAGAGAGGTGATGGGAGAAGCTCTGGCCTGGGGCTCAAAACCGTGCACTTGGGCCCCAACCCAATCCTTCCAGCCTGAATATACCTTGTGCGTCTCGGACCAGACAGTGTGACTGACCCTCTTCCATTCTTTCTCCCAGACAGGAAGTCAGACCTTGGTCCAAAGCAAGGCTTCACCACTGACTTAACCTTTCTAAGTGTGTTTCCACTTCTGCAAAATACTATCTCCTCAGGGGTTATTGGGAGGATTATAACAAATAACAAAATGCCAAGCGGACCTGCTCTCGGCTCTGCAGTTGTTAGCCCTCCTCTGTCCACCACTGCGCTTCCCTTCTCTCTGATGTGGAGTGGGAGGACAAAGGAAACATTGTTCAGAGGAGCTGGATTCTCCTGGAGTTCAAGATTCTCCTGCCTTACAGAGCCCCATGATTGACATTAGAACCCCAGAGTGTTAGGGCGAGGGCCGATTGGGTGAACTATCAATGTATCTCCACTCTTTACAGACTTGGTGCCAGCCCAGAGGCAGGGACTTGTCCACCTTCATGAAGCTAGTTAGTGACCCAGCTGGAACCTGTCACCAGGCGGCCTGACTTTCATGCCACGTGATGGAAATAGATCCTGTTAAAAGATTGATCCGTGGAAGGCTTTTGAGCCCACTACTTGTCACAGGGAAATCACCGCCATGGGGTGCCCAGACTCTGGACCCTGGATGCCTGGGTTTGGCCTCATCTCTGCCACTTACCAGCTTGGTGGCCCCACCCCCACCAGGCCTCAGTCTCCTCACCTGAAAAAGATAGATGATGGCCCTGATACTGATTCCCACCATGTAGGATCACTATAAGGATTCAGATGAGATGGTCCCTGCAAAGGGCCCAGAACGATGCCTGGTTTATAGGCTTGCTGCTTGTGGAGCACGGCGAATGTTTGATATTATTATCAATATATCAAAATAATGTCAATATCAAAATAATAGAGAAGTATCTAGAAAAAACTGAACTTCATATCTGGAAACAATTTTAAAGGTGATCGGTTTCGACTTCCAGGGATAAGTATGGCCTTTCATAACAATATAGGCTGTGCCAATCACCTCCTTCGGGGCCCTTCCACATGCCAGAGGTAGCAAAATTATCATTATTTAAAGACATAATTAACATTTATTATAGCTAGCATATTAGGTTTTAGATAGGCCAAATGCGTGATACAATGGAGTTGTATTTTTATGTGCTGTCATGCATACTTTATAGTACATTGGGGCCCTTATATAATCCGTGAGCACTGTACTTTAATGCCCATTTTATAGGACTTTTATAAGGGAGGTCAGATAGTGTGGAGGGAAGAGCAGTGGCCCAGGAGTCACCAGGCCTGATTAGAATGAAGGCTTTGCCGCACGTTAACTGGGTGACCGTGGGCAAGTTACCCCGTCTCCTCATCAGAAAAATTTGGAGACTGGGCTGGATGATGTCCAAGGATCCATCCATCCCTGAAAGCCTATGGCTGGAAGCAGAATCTTAAAATTTTAAGGGATGATAGAGGTGTAAAGGTGTTGAACCTTTGTATCTATGACATATTGTTGGTCACCTCTCTGACTGACTTGATGCTAAGTTCTTATGAACAACAAGCCCTCAATTATAAAACTATTTCTATTGGAAACTATGATCTGCTTTACAACATGCTGCTCGGCACGTGGCTACCCCATGCATTATGGGGAGAAGGAGGGGCTCCCTGCGTGTAACACCCACTTCCCAGGAAATGAGCAAGTGACCTTCACAAGGTCTCTGAGACTGTCAATCTAGCTTTGCGATCCTTCGTCCCATAATTCCCAGAAAGCGTAGCCTCTGACCGCTCCCTCCTCTGCAGATCGAAGGCAAACTAAAAAATGAAGTATGTAAGCCATGAGAGGCAAATACAAAGGACAGCTCAAGGGACAGCTGTGAGAGGGTAACACCGCAGGGGAACTCCCCAAAACTAAGGAGCTGATGGGCTGCTCTGCTACACAGTTCAGAAATGATGTCCAGAAGGAGACTCCGGAGTCATTAAGAAGTGTGTGAATTCCGTGACTGTCTTTTGCTTAAGGAGGAAAGGCAGGGTGTGATGTCTTTTAGGAAGCGTTCCATCAACATGGTTTTTGAAATTCTCAGCTCCTGGTGGGGTTACCTGCTTGCCTGGGACCTCGCTCCGTGAACGTCACTATACATGTGCCCCCAGGGGTTTGTGTGTCTAGGAGAATGCACACAGAAGTCCCAGAATAGTAAGTCCGTGTAGTGGGGTAGTTTTATGGGGCAGGCAGCCTTCCAGGTTTCCAGGAAGGATCTGAGTAGGATACAAGGTAGACTTAATTTACCTTAAGTTGGCTAGCTCTCATGCATCCATTCAAAAGTACTTTTTATTGAGCTCCTAATATGTGCCAGCACCATTTTACAGGCTAAGTCTGGAGTTTCAGAGAGGACCCACTGTTCACATGGCGTTTTCCTCTGGCATGCCCACACATGACAGGTGTACTACTGTGTGGTTTTCTATCTCCAGTCTGGTCCTTGGGACTACATGCCTCTGCCCCCACCCCACCCCACCCCCGTCCCTTCAGGTGGAAGCTGCCTAAGACTAGAATGGTTGTCTCCACAGGACTGAGCGCTCCCTTTGGACAGAGGCTGTCCTCCCCCACAGGCCATGACCTCAGGACAGAAGAAGGTGGATTTCTGGCTCTCCCGGGGGCCTGGTCAAGAAAGACTCCTTTTCCTCGAGAGAAGTCTCCCTGGGTTCCTGAGCTGAGCACATACTTTCTCCATGAGCAAGCAGGGACAGGAAAGAGGGGCGTCTCCCTGGGGGCCTCACCTCCTGCACGTCACAGGGGAGGGAAGCGAGAGAAAGGAGCGGAGGGCCGGGAGACGCCGAGGTCCCACACTCGGGACTCGCAGCCCTGCCCCCCAAGAGCGCTCGCTCCCGCAGCGGCAGCGCCCTGCAGCTCGGCCCCGGCGGCGGCGCGCAGCCAGTGGAGTGGGTGGTGCAGGGCAGGGGCGGTATATCCAGTCTGACCGAGGGCGGGCCTCGCCAGTGCCAGCAGAGGGACAAGCCGGGGCGGAGGCGCCAAGAGCCGCCGCCGGGAGCCTCACCAGGACCACTCACTCTATGGCCCTCGGGAGCCGCTGAGCGCAGCAGAGCAGCGCCCGCCCGCCCGCCTGCCGCCCGCCGCCCGCCGCCCGCCGCCCCTCGCCGCCCCTCTCGGCTCTCGCAGGCCCGGCCCGCGCCTCCCGCCACCATGAACCACTCGCCGCTCAAGACCGCCTTGGCGTACGAATGCTTCCCGGACCAGGACAACTCCACGCTGGCTTTGCCGTCGGACCAGAAGATGAAGACCGGCACGTCGGGCAGGCAGCGCGTGCAGGAGCAGGTGATGATGACCGTCAAGCGGCAGAAGTCCAAGTCTTCCCAGTCGTCCACCCTGAGCCACTCCAACCGAGGTAAAGGTTCGGCGCCCGCGCAACCCGGGCGCCCTGGCCCCGCGCCCCGCGCCCGCGCGGCGGGGACCCAAGGTGGCGCGCCTCCCGGGACTGCGGGGAGGCTAAGGAGCGCGGGATCTGCGCGGCGGGTCCGACGGGGTGCGGCGGCGGGGGGTGCGGGCGAGCGGCTGGCGCGAGCCCCAGGCTGGGGGCGCGAAGGCGGGTTCGCGCGGCGAGGGGAGGGTCACGGCCAAGGCCGTCTCTCCAGCGCGCGCAGAGGCTGAGGCTGGCCCGCGGGCCGGTACACCCGGCCCAGAGTCCGGGAGGCTTTCTTACCCCAGGCTGCTCCAGGAACAGCACCCCCCGCCCCTCAGCTCGGTCTCCCCCGACCCCTCACTCCCCGCCCCTCCTTTGGGCTTCGAGTTCCGCGGCGCCATCGGCAGGTAGCTAGGTAGCCGGCGCCCAGGCCGGTAGGTCTCCCGCCCAGGTGGGACCAGTGTGTGGCCGCCGGTCCGGGCGAGGGAGTTACGGTGGCGGGAGCAGGGGCTCAGGAGAGCGCAGCGGGACGGGGAGGCGCGGCAGGGAGCGGGGACCAGCCCTTGGAACGCGCAGCGCGTTAGCGGGAACCTCACGCCTGGAAGAGGCGAATCTGGTTGGAAGGTCACGCCAAGACTAGTGCGCTCCGGAGGCTCCCCCAGGCCGTGAAGGGTGGCTGCGGATGCCCTCTTTGCTCAGTAGCTAATGCAGAAGCTTTCTTTCCCACCGGATTCTCCCTGCCTCACTTGGCTTAAGTAGGAAGGAACAAGTGTCAGGGGGAGGGTAGGAAATGAGGTTGGCAAGGCTGGAAATCCCAGAAGGCACCCAGCGCTGAGACCTCATGGTGAGCACTTTTCCAGTTCAGGTGCTCAGCCTGACCAGTCATCAGTGCCCTGGTCCCCACTCTCGGTGCAGAGGTCCCCCACACCGGGAGGTTAGGAGAAAGGGATAGGACTCCTGAAACTCAAGGAGGAAGGTATAATATCTGACAGGGGCATTTGTGGAGAATTTATAGACCACATACTTTAATACAAAGGATTCCCATAAGAATTCCACTCAGACTAGCAAACTTTCTGTTTATTTGTGTGTTTAGGTAAATTTAGTAAATGCTAATAAAGATTCTACAGACTTCAAACCAGCACCGGTCAGCCAAGACTTATTTATGGAGCCAGGCCTCTAAGAGAGAGTAAGGGGAGTGGGGGGTAGTAAAGAGGAAGGAGTCAAAGGAGACAGACCCCTGCCCATCCCTCACACACACACACACACACACACACACACACACACACAAACCAGCTCAAACTTCCTACTCCGGCTGGGTCTCTTTTCCTCTTTCTCTCACTCCCAAGTGGCTCCTTTGTAGAGCTGAGGGAGAGAAAATGGCTGGCCAAGGATTTCCCTGCACCCGAACCTTAAAGGTCTTTGCTGCCCTTTGTGTGCCCTTTGCCCTGGCCTGGACTCCTGGTTGCTCTCCTGCCACACTTCTGCTCAATGTCATCCAGACTCCGGAGCATTTGCTTCCTCTTTTACTTAGTGCTTTGGTAGCTGCTGACCAGCCTTTTTTGGAAGTAGGTTTGGGATTTAAAAAAAAAAAAAAACTGTCCCCATTTCTGGCCACAGCCCAGTCACACAGCTCAAGACAACCTACTCTCTTCTTGGCACAAGACTTAGCTGTCCCTCTCCCACTCCCATGCCATCCCCCGCCACAGCTCCAGGAAGATCTCAAAAATCCCGGGTGCTCCAAACACCCCTTCTCCTTCCCAACTATGGGGATGCGGGCAAGTGCTCTGTTTCTGACCTTGCCCTTTGAGGGTAACACCTACTCGATGGGATCTCCTTCTCACCATCCCAAGGTCCTCCAGGGGACTCCAGCCAGGTGAGCTTCGACTTCCTCAGCTAATTCCTCCCTCTCCAGAAACTCGCTTCTCCAAGGACTGACCCCGTAGGTGTGTCCCCTCTGCCCTCGGCTCTGGCGAACTTCCCACAGGGGCAGTTTCCCCAGAGGCATCCTAGGTGGAAGAGGCGGTTGGGTCACTTGGAGCTGGTGTTTCTGGTTTATCTGGCTTTGTTTTCATCAGATTTCCCCCCTCTCTTCATCAGAACCGCCCAGGCATTCCCTATTTGCTCAGTGGCCATTCCTGTTAACTTTTCTCTCTCTTTTTGTGTTGGTTTGTTTAGCACACACCTGCTCTGGTTGCTGGGAGGGGCGAGCTGGGACTTGTGGAAGGACCATACCCCAGGTCATTGCCTTAACCAACTCCCCAACCCCATCCCCGGCACACTAGAATTCTCCTTCAAGAGAGAAGAGTCGAATTCTCTAGGGAGTTTGGTTCTCTTGAAACCCCAGAATCCCACCAGGGCCCCTCGGGTTGAGAACACCCACCCCAGAGAAGGCAAGCCACACCTCACAGGTTCCCTGGCAGGTAGAAACCTCTCCTTGTACCCCGTAAAGAACAGTCAGGAATCGGCCACTGGTGGTCCCAGCAATAGAACCTGCTTTTCTCCAGAGTCTGTCCCCAAGAGGGTTCTCTTCTGTCTTGTTGGCAAGACAGAAGTCCCCAAGTCCCAGTCCCCAAGGGCTGGGAGAGGAGCCCCTTGAAAGGAGCCTGACTCTCAACACCTATTTCCACCCATGCTTTCCCCAAAACCAGCAGATGAGATAAAGGCCTCGCCCTGGTCAGGACGTCCCCAGGGAGGGAGGAGGGGGCTCGGTTTGGGAGACCCTGCAGAAGGAGGCTGTTCTGAACCTGTCTGCCCATCTGGGCCTTTTTCTGAACTGGGGGCTAAGTATTGCTGTCCTGTGTTTCCAGAGTGTCCTTGTGTCTGCACAGCAGGGCGTCTTCTCAGACTATGGGAGGCGGAGAAAACCGAGGCGATGATGGGGCTGTTCAGCCAAAGATTTTTTTTTTGCTAGGGTCTTCCCTTTGCTAGGGAAGATTTTCCCTTTGCTAGGGAAACTTGACCGGCCTGGGACGGGAAAGTCCCCACAGGCGTTTATCCTGAGCTGCCCTGGTTGGGGGGGGGGGGGGGGCAAGGGTTCGTGCATCAGTTAGGCAGCCCGCACGGAAATATCTTTCCACATTCCGGTTCTTTAGAACTTCACTCGGAACCTCTTCCTAAAGCTTAACCTGAATCTCATTTGGTCCAACTTCAGCGCCACCGTGAATACACATCCCACAGACAGTCTAACGACACCGCCTTTCTTTTTCGTATCACTTCTCATTCCAAAGAAATCTCAGCACAGTAGCGTCATTGTCCTTGTTTGTTTCACTCCCTGCTGAGACGTCCGTGACTCCTCACTTTCAACCTTCTCCTTTCTTGTCTCTAACATGGCCAAACCTGTATTCCCCCCCCACCATCGGAGATAGGGTTGGGGCCACGCTGAGCTAGGAAAGGTGCCTGTCCCCCACGTCGTCATTCTGCATCTGTCCCTCATAGCGCAGTTACTACTTAAGGCTGTCCTAGGGGGCAGGCTCGGGCTGGCTTGGTGGCCGTGGTGTGCACAGGTGAAGGTCCCTGCCTCGGGACCCGCCTTTGTTGGCCTTTCTGTATCTGCTTTTGGCTGTGTCTCATCATGAACCTCTGCCCGTGTGAGGTTCTGCTCATTCTTCTGTCTTGAAAGTTGCCCGTTCCTGACCGCAGACCATGAACGGACATCACTCCTGGGATTGTTTTCTCGGGTCCAAAGCTGGCATGGGAGAGGGTAAAGGGTGTCTGAGCTTTAACTTGTCCCAGCAGCAAAACGTCCTCATTAAACTGCAGATGAACCAATTCCTATTTCTTTACAATGTATCTTGGCTCGAAGCTGAGGTTTTACCAGAATTTCCGTTCGCCTGTTACAACACATACAAAAACGCCAGGTATTCCAGAATGTTGTACAGCAAATGCTGTTTCCCTGGACCCTGCTCCTTAGTTAAACTCATTGGCAGAAGTTTAAAAAAAAAGAAAAAGAAAAAGAAACAAATGTTTCTCCCCATACGCCAGATTGTAAATATCAACAAGCCAATGGTTTCAGGTCTACAAATCTGGGAACTATTTCTACCATGGGGATGGCCCCTAGAAGGTGTGTGATGTTTGGACAAAATAAGATGGAAGAATGGTAGCTATCCTCAGGTGAAGTTCTTTGCAGACGCGCACTGCACACGCACACACACTTACATGCATATATACTCACACCCATGCACATACATGCATGTAGGCACATTCTTGCGAACACACAGACCCCACCTTGCAGTCTGTCAAGGGCAGAAGTCCAGCCTGGTGTCAGGAAACCTGAGTTCTACCTGGACGGATTGCTAGCTGGTGTGTGACCTTGGACAAGTCATTGCCTCTCTCCGGGTCTCTACAACTGTACGACATCAGATTAGAGCATCTCAAAAGTGTGCTATGATGGTAGCCATCTCTGGAAATAGATCCCATCACTCCCTACCTCGGCAGACCGTGCCCCCACACCGTCTATAGCTGTCCTACAAAAAAACTCGTCCCCTCAGTGAGAATCCCATGGTTTCCCTCTTGTAAACATCCTAACATACCAGAAGCCGTCCACTCTGCTGCTCTCAAACCTGACTGCACACTGAAACCATCTGGGAATTTTAAAAAAGGCCAGTGCCTACGTCCCACCTCAGAGATTCTGATTTCACACACGTACACACACACAGGCATAAAGACGGATAGTCATCTAAGGTGGTGATTGCTGATGACCGTGTTTTAGTCTGGATCCCCAGCCTGGGAGCTGTGTCCTGTTCTGACCTTTGTCCACACGAATCCACCACCCTGCCCCCATGCCGGCCCTGTCCCCACGAGATGCTCCCACTCCCTGCCCAGGCCTTGGGTTTCGTGGTGACCAGGAACAGAGGATCAGAAAGAGAAAGGGGGGCTGTAGCAGAGCTGGGCTCGACAGTGTCCCAGCAGAGCTGGGGGGAGAGCCCTGTAGCAGCATCCCTGTTCCATACATATGCCCAGGAGAAGGGCAAGAACCATGCCAAAGT